TGCAGTAATGACCCTGAGAGCGACGGCTGAAGACAGTGTAAAAGGTACATAAACTATAGGCCAAACTTTCAGGGCCGTGAACACTGAGACTAAGTCTTCCCTCAGGGCCGTGAACACTGAGACTAAGTCTTCCCTCAGGGCCGTGAACACTGAGACTAAGTCTTCCCTTACACGACCAGCCACCAACTGTTCCTATCAGTCAGTCATTCCCGAAACTGGCTTTAAAAGTTTGTCATTTCACGTCGTTCTTATTTTTATGTTGGAAAATGAATTAATTTAATAGCAAGAGGAGCAGGAGGCAGTCTGTTCTGTGCGGTGTTGCTGACTGACTCGTCACTGGGCGGTGTTGCCGCGTGTCTCACGCCTCTTGACGGCCAGGTAATGGTGACGTCTTGACTGACGTCTCATCTTCCAGTCTTCGTCATCTCCCAGCCTCCGTCATCTCCGTTACCTCACATGTAACCTTGCTAGTGGTGACTGTATATACTTGCTACACACATTGTGTCCGTATATGTGTTGTGCTCTACACGGGAACACTCAAGTATTTCACCTGTCATCTTCCTTCGTGGTGATAACCTGTCACATTATTTATAGTGTTCACTACTTCGACACACACACACACACACACACACACACACACACACACACACACACACACACACACACACACACACACACACACACACACACACACAGGTAGGGTAGGGTAGATAAAGACAGACTTTTTAACACAAGGGGCACACGTACTAGGGGACACAAGTGGAAATTGAGTGCCCAAATGAGCCATAGAGACGTTAGAAAGAATTGTTTCAGTGTCAGAGTAGTAGACAAATGGAATACATTAGGAAGTGATGTGGTGGAGGCTGACTCCATACACAGTTTCAAGTGTAGATATGATAGAGCCCAGTAGGTTCAGGAACCTGTACACCTGTTGATTGACGGTTGAGAGGCGGGACCAAAGAGCCAGAGCTCAACCCCCGCAAGCACAATTAGGTAAGTACAATTAGGTGAGTACACACACACATACACTTGGCAATTGAGAGGCGGGACCAAAGAGCCGAAGCTCAGCCCTCCCAAGCACAGGTAGGTGAGTGAAGGTATACTCTGGAGTATGCCTTCTGGCTGAGTCCCGCCAGAATATGCGTCATATCAGCCTTTGATTCCTGCCTCTCCTATGCTAATCTTGCTTTTTCTGAGGCAATTTAAGTTTTTTTGTCTTTAGAGAGCATAATTCGTCTCATTAGCAGCAGAAAATTATATTCCCGACTACTATAATCTTACTTCAAACTGAACTGTTATCACATGTTTCCAATTAAACATGGTTTCTTAACGAGCTAATCAACGTTGTGGGTTTGCTGTGTCGACTCTAACGACATTACGAGCAAATGAGATTATAACAATGTCCCCTTTGTCCTTACCAAGTGACCTGTCACAGTGTCAAGCGACCGCTTGGCTACCAACCCTGCAGCATAATAGTATTAACAGCTGAAACACAGCTCCAAGCATCATAACCCCATTACTAGTCAATCATGAAGTTTAATTAATTTTTCGTCTGGTATTTTTACACTTAAGTGAATTAATTATCCCGTTACAGTATCCAGCAAACCTGCATTCATTTCCCCAATATGTCATTGATACTGGTAAACCGTCTGTGTTGCAGAGCTTGTAAACTGTTCGTAATACTTGTTGCATCATTATGTGCAACATTTGGCACTAATCTGTGGTGGCAGTGTTATAGATCAGTGCCACAGGTGCCAAGAGAGAGAGACAGACAGACAAAAACCTATTTAATAAGCTGTGTATAAAACCAGAGGCCAACACAGTTTCCTATTATTGAAAAAAACGAATTATATAAGATTGTCACAGCTGGTCAGAGTAGGCTACAAGAGGAGGTAATGTGCACGAGAGATGAAAACGTTAACAAAATATTATATATTGTAGAGTGAAGCCGGATCCCTCGGAGCGTGGCGAGGCTCCCGTAACTACGGTCCTGTACAACCCTCGGAGCGTGGCGAGGCTCCCGTAACTACGGTCCTGTACAACCCTCGGAGCGTGGCGAGGCTCCCGTAACTACGGTCCTGTACAACCCTCGGAGCGTGGCGAGGCTCCCGTAACTACGGTCCTGTACAACCCTCGGAGCGTGGCGAGGCTCCCGTAACTACAGTCCTGTACAACCCTCGGAGCATGGCGAGGCTCCCGTAACTACGGTCCTGTACAACCCTCGGAGCGTGGCGAGGCTCCCGTAACTACGGTCCTGTACAACCCTCGGAGCATGGCGAGGCTCCCGTAACTACGGTCCTGTACAACCCTCGGAGCATGGCGAGGCTCCCGTAACTACGGTCCTGTACAACCCTCGGAGCATGGCGAGGCTCCCGTAACTACAGTCCTGTACACACTCCCCTCGGTCCCGCCTTCTGCTCGTCGCGTCACTCGCCACAAAATCTGACTCTGATAATTGGGAGTAATTGTGTTATGAACTTGCAGACAGGATCACCTCGGACTCTGGACTGTCTCGCCCTCACTAATTTCTAAAGGAGATTCTGTCAGTTGTTTTCATCCCGTGAGTTTCACATCACTGACAAATACCCATCGCCTCACTAGCTCTGCCAATTCACTATTTCTGCCAATACACTATTCCTCAAGCACCCTATTGTCTCCTGTCACCCTAGTATCTCCAGCCTGTCCTATATATGTTCCCTAACGTCAAGAAACTGTCGTGGTAAAGTGCCATTATCCTCACCTACCAGAGGACCCAAAACAGAAAACGGGACAGTATGCCAATTTCGCGAGCCGCTTTCGTTTTCTAGTACGACAATTTTTGGCCTTAAGAGTTTACGTCCAAATGCGACGTTGTATTAGGAGGACGAGTCGTTATCTCATGGTCTCCTAGTTGGCCATCACCCTACGCTTCTCCATCACTATGTACTCATCTTAACATTATCTTATTCATCACCCTGCTCTACCCCATCACCCTATTCCTCACAGTTACTCATCTCTTCAGCTTCACCATTTATCATCATACTCCGACCCTTCGCTTTGTTTTCATCAGTTCTCTTCAGACCGAAGAATAATAGTCCGGCCAAGTTGTTGACTGTGGCTCATTGTCCCCCTCCCCCTCCCCCCTCCCCCCATGCATGTGTGGTGACTCATGTGTGGTGACATGTATGGTGACATGTATGGTGACATGTATGGTGTCATGTATGGTGACATGTATGGTGACATGTGTGGTGACATGTATGGTGACATGTGTGGTGACATGTATGGTGACATGTATGGTGACATTAACAGTTCTCCCGCACGTTTATCAACACTCAGCAGTAACTCAGCGAATTCTTTGACTCTGATGTGAATATGAGATAGAGATGTGTACTCACCTAGTTGTGCTTGCGGGGGTTGAGCTTCAGCTCTTTAGTCTCTCTTGTCAACTATCAATTAACAGGTGTACAGGTTCTTGAACCTACTGGGCTCTCTCATATCTGCATTTGAAACTGTATATGAAGTCTGCCTCCACCCCATTCCCTTGTACTCCATGTCCCATCATCTTCCTCTTGTACCCACTCACCCCCATTACTGTAACCATGTTCTCTACTCACAGTTTTCACCACTGTAACCCGAATTAGTTTAGTTCGTCGTTTTCCAGTAAATTATGAAATGCGATGTAAACTCTACGGAAAACACATCCACACTTTTATTTCAGATTATTCAGATCTCACGGGAAGGGGGGTGGGGGCGGGGGGGTTACATGCCGTACAGATAGTACAGGTGACAGGTTATGTTTTAGAGTATTTAACTTAAGCCGAACCCGAGCAGCCTGTGCCAGCCCTCTACCCCACCCCAGTCTCCATGCAAGGTTGGGTGATGGTTGACCCTAGCATGTGGCCTCCAACTTTGGACAGACAGACATAAAACAGACACTCCCTCTGATAGTACATAGACACTCCCTCTGATAGATAGTACTAGGCGGTACCCGGCGGTGCCCGGGATGCCCAGGATGCCCAAAAAGTTGTGCCATTTAAGTGTTGGGAGCCACTGAATAATGAATCAATAATAAAACTTTGTAGATTAGGTCCCAAACATTTCACCTCCACCTGCTTCATGAAGTGTAGGACCTTGGGACTGATTTGCCCTCCAAGAGGGATGTGGGGGCTGACTCCGATCCTCCTGTGATTGTCCCACTACACCCACCCGTCACCCTGCCAAGTTAGGCGAGGCCAGATCCTTGGAGCTGGCCTCTAACATTTTTGTATAGGTATACTTAGCGAGATGCCCAGCTGTGCCAGGGTCGACTTGAGCATCCCAAATCTGTCTCTCTCTGTCTGTCTGTCTGTCTCTCTCTCTCTCTCTCTCTCTCTCTCTCTCTCTCTCTCTCTCTCTCTCTCTCTCTCTCTCTCTCTCTCTCTCTCTCTCTCTCTCTCTCTCTCTCTCTCTCTCTCTCTCTCTCTCTCTCTCTCTCTCTCGCTCGCTCGCTCGCTCTCTCTCTCTCTCTCTCTCTCTCTCTCTCTCTCTCTCTCTCTCTCTCTCTCTCTCTCTCTCTCTCTCTCTCTCTCTCGCTCGCTCGCTCTCTCTCTCTCTCTCTCTCTCTCTCTCTCTCTCTCTCTCTCTCTCTCTCTCTCTCTCGCTCGCTCTCTCGCTCTCTCTCTCTCTCTCTCTCTCTCTCTCTCTCTCTCTCTCTCTCTCTCTCTCTCTCTCTCGCTCTCTCGCTCTCTCTCTCTCTCTCTCTCTCCTTCAAAAGGTTTAGAGGGGCGTGGCCAGCGCCAAGTGCATAAATCAGTCCTGGGGGCTCGGTATATGCCGTGGCACACTATTCCCTCTTGGTATTTGGCTACTTTTACCCGACGATGTTGGGCACGTACCCCACAGGAATCAGTGTGCAATGTTGTGTTAGGTTATCTTTAAACGTAACGTTTGGCGTTCATTTTCGGACAGAAACAGACAGTAATAATTTACAAATGTAAATTATAGATAAAGATATATGTTTATGCGTTTAATTTTAAGATTACCTTTCTCTGTGCCGTAGAGATAATGCCGAAGACGAACTTGTTTATTCACAACAAAAGTGTTATCTTCTAGTAGGTTGAGACAAGTCCCGGAGTAGGTGGCGGCCTGTGTGGTGTTGGGCTTATGTCCTGTCAAGCGCAGGAGGGTTATTATGGCCACCACAGTACTTTACTGGTTAAGTATACTTTATTTCTGAGCATAGATGAGGACTAAAGTATACTCTGTGTATGTGTACCTAGAAGATGTGGGTGTATATACCCGTCTTGAGTCGGAAGACGAACTGGGCCAGTCGGTGAGGATAAGGCCAGCAGGCAGCTGTGTCCTTACACACCTGCTCGCTTAACACTCTTCTCAATGGTGTCAGTGTCTATGGCTTGTTATAGACGGCTTCTGTGATGCCGCCACAGGCTCTCACTCCTGCCACTTCCGGATTGTATCACTTCCGCTTTCTCACTCTTCTCCATTCCCACTTGTATTACTTCTCCAACTTGCAGATTCTGCCACAGCTGCTCTGCCACAGCTGCTCTGTCACAGCTGCTCTGTCACGGGCGCAGCCTAAAGACTATCCTGGTGATTGATGGCCACAGCTGCCCTGACTCAGACTCTGTGCTTGGCCCAGAGGTCTCCGGGACGCGCGCAATATTCCGGAGACATGACTGACTAACCTCGGGTCGTGCTCTGGCGCCTACTACCCAACAGTGGGCTCAAGAAAGTGTTGCCTAGTTACACTACAACTTCCAGTGTAGATATTGTTTCCAGGGGCCTCACTAGTCATTGTGTTCCTGTATGTTATCTTGCACAGTCTGTGTTCAGGTATAATATTTGTACAAACAAACTTGCTGAACATCTTATACCATTACACAAATGCACTTGCAGATATCGTCTCTAATATGAAGTTTCTAAATTACTTCACCATCAAATATTCAACACTAAATGGTCATATTCACTTAATTTAACTAAAATCACCGATAATTTGCTGATTTATGTTAATGCGTGTCTAAGAGCCCATATGATTCTAACTTATATACTGGTAAAATGGGTTGATGATTATTCCTTGTGTGGAAGATGGGGGCCTCGGAGGGCGAGCCTGTGAAGCTGTGGAGACCGACAACGTCCTCCCCGGGCGGTGGCTGGCGACCAACTGACTGTCAGCCCCACACCGGCCTCCAGGCCAGCCTCTGCGCCGACCTTTCCTTGACAGTTGACCAGATCACACACTAGAAGTTGAAGGGACGACGACGTTTCGGTCCGTCCTGGACCATTCTCAAGTTGATTGTGAATATTTTTTGACAGTATGCCCACCTTCACTGCCAGTATGGCCACCTTCACTACCAGTATGGCCACCTTCACTACCAGTATGCCCCCCTTCACTACCAGTATGCCCACCTTCACTACCAGTATGCCCACCTTCACTACCAGTATGCCCACCTTCACTACCAGTATGCCCACCTTCACTACCAGTATGCCCACCTTCACTACCAGTATGCCCACCTTCACTACCAGTATGCCCACCTTCACTACCAGTATGCCCACCTTCACTACCAGTATGCCCACCTTCACTACCAGTATGCCCACCTTCACTACCAGTATGCCCACCTTCACTACCAGTATGCCCACCTTCACTACCAGTATGCCCACCTTCACTACCAGTATGCCCACCTTCACTACCAGTATGCCCACCTTCACTACCAGTATGCCCACCTTCACTACCAGTATGCCCACCTTCACTACCAGTATGCCCACCTTCACTACCAGTATGCCCACCTTCACTACCAGTATGCCCACCTTGCGTCAACGGGCATTCGTATGCTATTATCTTGCTGTCGGCAGCGTCGTGTTCCAGTCAGTCGGTGCACTGGTGCTCAGAGAGTGATAAAGGAGCAATATATTCCATACAAGGACACAAGGTGGCCGATATCGCTACTGCTAAGATATCGCCACATAAACTTTGCACCTTCAGGTCGCCAAATGGCGCAGAAGATGTTGGTCTGACGTACGTCGCCAAACTGACGTCTGAACACTAGACGTCACATCATACGAGACAACGTTCTTTCCTTATTCTTCCTTGAGCACTACAGTACATCTTTCAAGACAATATTCTTACATATTCTTCCTTATGGGATACATAGGTTCCCTGGCCTGTAGTTCTGGTAGGTTGTTCCTGCCCTCAAGAGGTAGTTCTGGCAGGTTGTTCCTGCCCTCAAGAGGTAGTTCTGGTAGGTTGTTCCTGCCCTCAAGAGGTAGTTCTGGTAGGTTGTTCCTGCCCTCAAGAGGTAGTTCTGGTAGGTTGTTCCTGCCCTCAAGAGGTAGTTCTGGTAGGTTGTTCCTGCCCTCAAGAGGTAGTTCTGGTAGGTTGTTCCTGCCCTCAAGAGGTAGTTCTGGTAGGTTGTTCCTGCCCTCAAGAGGTAGTTCTGGTAGGTTGTTCCTGCCCTCAGGAAGTAGTTCTGGTAGGTTGTTCCTGCCCTCAAGAGGTAGTTCTGGTAGGTTGTTCCTGCCCTCAAGAGGTAGTTCTGGTAGGTTGTTCCTGCCCTCAAGAGGTAGTTCTGGTAGGTTGTTCCTGCCCTCAAGAGGTAGTTCTGGTAGGTTGTTCCTGCCCTCAAGAGGTAGTTCTGGTAGGTTGTTCCTGCCCTCAAGAGGTAGTTCTGGTAGGTTGTTCCTGCCCTCAAGAGGTAGTTCTGGTAGGTTGTTCCTGCCCTCAAGAGGTAGTTCTGGTAGGTTGTTCCTGTCCTCAAGAGGTAGTTCTGGTAGGTTGTTCCTGCCCTCAAGAGGTAGTTCTGGTAGGTTGTTCCTGCCCTCAGGAAGTAGTTCTGACAGGTTATACCCTGCCGCCAGGAAGTAATCTTCCTTAACAACTGCTTCGATCCGGTGATATCAGCTCGACAAACATTTCTTAACTAGTTGGAAATTTTTCGGAATGAGAGTAAATTTGTTTTACTCTGAACAGTTCTACTCCCAGCCTCTTGGAGGGGGGGAGAGGGAGAGAGCGAGAGAGAGAGAGAGAGAGAGAGAGAGAGAGAGAGAGAGAGTGAGTGAGAGAGTGAGTGAGAGAGGAAAGTTTCATATACTCAGCAAGCGTATGGTATAAAAAATGGTATATGAGATGTTTGCAAGTTGCTAAGTAAAGTGATCTGATATTATCCTCCACCTGTCCTCAGGCCAGGCTCGTCTAGCCGCCCGTCGACTCCAGTGACGTATTCGTTAATTTTAACGCAGTGCGTATTTAAAAATGTGTATTTTGTCACATACAAGATAATATTGTGACGTACTGGAATGTGTTGAACAGTTATGATTAACGTAGGTTAGGTGGTTAGGTGCTGTTAGTAGTTGCATCTGGAGAACCTAATCCCCTAACCCAAGTTAGGCCAAAACACCTGCTGAAACACCCGCTGAAACACCTGCTGAAACACCTGCTGAAACACCTGCTGAAACACCTGCTGAAACACCTGCTGAAACACCCGCTGAAACACCCGCTGAAACACCTGCTGAAACACCTGCTGAAACACCCGCTGAAACACCCGCTGAAACACCTGCTGAAACACCCGCTGAAACACCTGCTGAAACACCTGCTGAAACACCTGCTGAAACACCCGCTAAAACACCCGCTGAAACACCTGCTGAAACACCCGCTGAAACACCCGCTGAAACACCTGCTGAAACACCCGCTGAAACACCTGCTGAAACACCCGCTGAAACACCCGCTGAAATACCTGCTGAAACACCCGCTGAAACACCTGCTGAAACACCTGCTGAAACACCCGCTGAAACACCTGCTGAAACACCCGCTAAAACACCTGCTGAAAAACTGTGGCCACCAATCTAAAGCCACCGGTCTGTTATTACATTAAACAAAGGTAATTAAACAACAACAACAACTCATTTACTCGCACCAAGCTGCTTGTTGTTGTAAGACTGACGACGGCTCTCACCCTCCACCCTCGCTGCTCCAATTGTCTAAATTATATATATATATATATATATAATATGGGAAAACCACAGTGATATATCTATATATATATTTTTTTTTACGGGGGGGGGGGGGGAAGGGGGGGAGTGGAGTAAGCTCATTTGAAGATAAAATATTAATGGTCATTGGGTGAAATTTTTTTATTTAAATACTATTATGATTATTTTTGTTTAATGAGGAAATACTCAAAATGTTCTGCCTGCAAAAGTCCACAATTCGACGCATGACTTCTTAGGTTGACGATTAAATTACTGCCAAGAGTTTAAGTCCACACTATGGAGGCTGACCCACCTACGGTCACTGCTTTACAACGGCCCACAAGCGTTAAGGAAATCATAATTAAACACAAACTTGACTCCAGCCAACAGTGAAGAGAAGAATCAAGTTACGGGCTCGCCATAGCCCGTGCTACTTGGAACTTTATTCCAGGTAGCGAATCTTTAGCAACTAGCAACAGTGAAGAGAAGGTGCAGCTGAACATATACTTCAAGAGTAAGAAGTCAGCAAACTTGCTCCCCATACCAAACGGAACTCCTTGAAAGAGATGAATATTGTTCATATCTCTACACAGCCACTAGAGGGAGTCAGTCCTGATGATCCCGGCCGCTATATGAGCAAGACGATAACATCTCCTTCAAGGCACCTGACAATGCTCGAAGCTGTACGAACAATCACATCATTACCTTCACACAACCAGACCATCACTAAAGATATCTGGACCACCAACATTGAAACAATCGACAGATACGACAAATGGACATTTGACATAGCCAAAGCACTTCACATCAAACACAATAGCCAGCTAAGAATTAGTTATGTCTTACGATCTTCAAGATTAAGTGAATACAGCCGGTTTACACCACACCTACTGGACCAGCCGACCAATTAGAATGCAAGGGATGATTACCGAGTCCCATAGACAATGTAACTACTGTACCTCTCTTAACAACTGTCTGGAATAATCTCTGCTGCATCTATTCATTTCTATTCACTTTACCTGTGACTGGTGAGATGCTAAGGAGCACACGTAGCCTGACTCTGAACCCTTCAGGTTATCTTCCAGCCAGTGATGTGTGCGTTACGCGCTCAGGCTGATGAACACCATTGGGCCTGGCTCGTAACCGGTTGGGCAACCGGTTGGGCAACCGGTCAGTTCGCCTCGCCATTGACTACTAACATCTCGACGTGTCTAACAGGTCTTCTGCACCCAACAATTATAATTTATAAGTCACATATATTTTAGAACAAGAAGTGTAGCAGCTTCCACCATACTTCACTGAAGACAAATTAAAGGAAAAACTTATTTTGTATTTTAATGAATGATGAAACGAACGACTTAATAAGACTAAATTAAATGTTTCCAGAAAATGTCGAAGTGAAATCAGTGATGAAAACTTCAGTGAAAGCTGATGAAAATATTTCTTGGCTTTTCTTAATGTCAGCAGACTCCAGCAGCTGTCAATTTCCACTCTCTTCTCCAGGAGGCAGCAGTCTGGTGCCTCTGAGTGCTTCACCTATCACAGAACTCAGACTACAGGAGTGTTCAGGCTACGAGAGCACTCAGACTGCGAGAGCACTCAGACTGTGAGAGCACTTAGACTGTGAGAGCACTCAGACTACAAGAGCACTCAGACTACAAGAGCACTCAGACTACAAGAACACTCAGGCTTGGAGAACTCGTGGATCCTGTAAAATCCTAGAGATGGGTGAGAATCAACTATGATTTCAAGAGGCGGCGAGCGCGCTGGAATAGGAATAGGCACTCTTACGTTCCAGACCTTCCAGGGGGACGGGGGATGGGTATCCTCCTCTCCTTCCATATGGGTAGTATGGTCTTCTGCTTCACTCCAGGAAGGGTGGCCCTGACCGTCTCCATCTGAGCAGTGCCACAACATCTCTTTGCCCTGACATGGACTGTTGTCAGATGTCTTCACAAGGAATATTACCAGGTGTGACCACGAGGCTGAGCACATAAACATTGAAGCTGGAGTGCCAGAGTTGCCTCTCGAGACTGGAGTCTGAGGGTCCAGAAGATGTGAGATAAATATAAGGGCAGTACGTGAGAGTGAGGGGAACACAACAGTGTAATCAGAGGAATGTAAACACCGCCGGGGGACCATTGATCACTGAGCCTCTCTCATTATTGATTGGATTTACGTTCTGGCTTTGACTCATGGCGGGTGGGTCGTCACCAGTGACCTTGGCCAATGGTGACCTTGGTCAAGAATTACCTTGGTCAATAGTAACTTTATAGTGATACTTTGTTTTATATTTTATTGTCTTCGTTTTTTTTGTATGTTTAGATGTGTCTACACACCGCTCAGGGGCTCGACTATCCCAGGCGGACGACAAGCAAGTTATCTCCTGTTTTAGACCTTTTTCTAGAAAACTCAAAGTTTGATAAAATCATTTAAAATCACATTTATAACTAAATCACATTTGTAACTAAAAAAGGAAGTAGAGTATTTGAAATAGGTGTCATAGGATGTTCATTTGATGCATCACGTTAGTGTGATCTGTGTGTGTGTGTGTTTCATAGGATAATTAGTTGACTGAAGTACGTTATTCTATGGGCTAAACATATTTAATAACGTCTCCTTGAAGTCATCAGCTTGTCCGAGGACACGGAGTGAAGGTTTTAATAGATGTTTAACTTATGGTTCTCACCACAAGTCAGCAGACTAAATAAGGTCTTTTACAACAAAGAAACTCTGCCATGCTCAAGCATATGTCCACAATATTTACACACTCTTGCCAGGAATCTCAGGTTTTCAAGTGTAAACGACGTGTTTGATAACTTGGATATGTTTGGTTGAAGTTCTTTACCCAGCAGGACGGTGCACCTGTCCCCAGCTCTTGCTGGGGACAAGTTACCTGAGTGCCAGCAACACGACCAGCAGGTAACATTATGTGTGGCTTCTACCAACCCACCAGTCTCCTCTGATGTCCCCCTCTGCTCCTTCCTCCTTGTTCTGTCCCTTGTCATGTTTCCTCTCTATATCTTCCCTTTACCCCTCAGGTCCTTCTTACCTTTACCTTCCTGCTCCTCTCAGGTCCTTC